GTTTTGGTTTTCCCAGTTCTCCTACAAACTTTCCCTGCTGCATCTAGATACTCTGTCCTAATAAACATTTGAAAGCATAAGACGTTTTCCCCAGATTCATCTAGTAGGCAGGGAAGGCTACATCCCTTCTAGGGACTGCACCATATCACTACAGGATTTTGGGGGGGGCAGGGGTCGCAGGAGGTTAGTAGTTTCACATCTAATCCATTAGTTTACGTGTCCATGGCCCAGGGCTAGTTGTTCTATGATAGTATTAAACCTAGTCATGTATTTTGCTTTGGGAATTGCTGGTACTACCAAGAGTAACCTTGATAGAGAAAAAGGCTAAGCAGAGAAACCCCTTGCACTCACACTAACAGTTTAAGTCTCTGACAGGGGTCATTGAGACTAAAAAGCCCTGTGACACTTTGCAGCTGTGAATCTCCATTATTTCACTTTGGATGTAATATCCTGTAAAAATACGAGAGGAACATGCTCTCCAACTATACGAAATACCCATGTAAGTGAAAAAAATAACATGAGGAAAACCACTATAATTATTACTTTATGGAAATGCATTAGGCATAGTCATTCACGCTTAGTTAAGAACTACATAATGAGAATAATTCTGCACTTTGGTTTAAAGAAAAAGATATGACAACACTTAAATTTATTGTTTAATGCTATAAAAACAAAGGTAACACAAACTCTGGAAGAGGAAGAATTTGTGCGTGGGTTGTTTCTGATGCTTGTGACAAAAAGGTGATGTATGTACACAATAGTGAAAGTGTCCTTTGGTTTTTGGAACAAATTATTTTATTCTGTAAAATTATTTTATTACAGAAGTTTTATAAAGGAAAATACTATAGATATATTTCTAGAGTGACATTGGAATAAGCCCTTCTCAGTCCTAGGTCATCAACTTAAATAAAGCTAATGCCTGAAGTCATTACCATTGCCATTTGCTTTTTGATCTGTGCAGAATAAGCTTTACTGAAAAAGGAAATCTGAACAGGATGGGAATGAGGGGAATTCCTATCCCCTTGTCATTGGAGTGTTCCATTTATGACTATATCTCACTGCTTAGGTAACATGGAGATGTTTACATGCCTGAGACTCAGAGAATAACCATTCTGGAAAAAAAATTGTGGACTAGTCTCGCAGCACTTCTTAAATACTATAGAGTCCAATTTAAAGTTTGAAACCTTATAAAAATGATAAACTCTCTAATTTTGCAAATTGATTCAGGTTCAATCTTATTATTCTGTGTCAGGTCAAATCAACAACTCATGTATTAAATATTTAAAAGTTGTCATGTTAAATTTATGATGTGCTAATATATTATGTGTCCTAAACTGCTGTTGGCTTGAAAAACATTTCAGTTTTTAACTGGATAAAGTTTCCTACCATATCAAATTAATTTGGATAGTTAAACACATCTAGGTTTAACACTAAATGCCATTACATTTTCACTTTCAATATTTTTATTAGCTCTATATGCGTTTACTAGTGAATCTACCAGACTCTTACTACTAAAGGAGAAGCAGAACTGAATTATAATTCAGCTCAAGGCATCAGATAAAACGTCAAAAATCTCTGACAGAGGCCATTGACTGAAGATTTTCACTGAATTAAAAACTAGAGACATTGCTATTACATCCTTTCATATTAATTACATTTTGCTAATGTGCTCTTAAGGTTCTGTTGGTTGGGCTCCATATAAGATGCTCCTGCAAACTCTTTCATAAATGTTTTCTGGATGCCGCAAAAGTAAAACTGTTTGCAACAAAGTTCAGCAATTTTGCAAATGTAGTCAAACAATATAGTTCATGTCACACTAGGATTTTTTAAAGAAATACATTTTACCCCAATAATCAACATAATGATTCTAAGTGAATATGTAAAAAAATGAAGAAACTAGATATAATATGCTCCTGATAAAAATATGCTTTAGGTAATTATGTCTCCAAATGCTAACAGTATTTCAGAAAGTTTAAAAGTTTCTGAAATAAATTTTTGGTCATATATAACTATGCTAAACCTTTTAACAAGATCTATATACAGGAGTTGGCATGGCTTTCTCCTCCATCCAGTCAGAAGTTACTGTGCCAATTCTTCAATTTGCATTTTCCATATTTTTCCTTGACACCAATTTCCTATTTTTAAGTACACTGGTTTTCCTGTCAAAAAGACCAACCATACAATCTAGCATCAGGCCACCATCAGAAATGCATTTGCAATCATCCAACTGGAATTCTGAAAAAAATTGAGAAAATTATCCAGGTGCCCATCTGTGAGGGACAAGCAGGGGATTGTATATTTAGGGGCAACCAACACGGGTTCATTAGAGGTAGGTCCTGTTACACCAACCTGGTGGCCTTCTATGACCAGGTCACAAAATCCTCAGACGCAGGTGTCACGGTGGATGTAGTCTTTCTGGACTTTGGGGTGAGAGACAGTGTCAAAGGCCTTCCTATTCTCGTTAAAAAATTAGGAGATTGTGGTGTCAATGCCTACACAGTCAGATGGGTCACCTGGATGTTGGCTGGAGGGCCGCTCCCAGACAGTGGTGGTGGATGGGTCATTTATGATCTGGAGGGATGTGGGCAGTGGGGTCCTCCAGGACTTGGCCCTCAGGCCCGCACTGTTCAACATCTTCATCGGCGACATGGATGAGGGGGTGAAAAGCACCTTGTTCAAATTCACGGATGACACTAAGATTTGGGGAGAAGTGGGCACACTAGAAGGGACAGGCTGCAATTGGATCCGGACAGGTTCCGGGGGAGCGGATGAGAATAAGATGGGATTCAGTACTGACAAGTGCAGAGTACTGCACCTAGGTAGAAAGAACCAGCACCATACCTACAGGCTGGTGAACTTCCCTCTCGTCAGCACAGAGGCAGAAAAGGATCTTGGAGTCATTATAGACTCCAAGATGAACATGGACCGCCATTGTGGGGATGCAGTCAGGAAGGCTAATTACATCTTGCAGATGCATCACGAGCAGGTCCATGGAGGTGGTCCTTCCCCTCTATGTGACACTGGTTAGGCCGCAGTTGGAGTACTGTGTCCAGTTCTGGGCGCCACACTTCAGGAGGGACGAAGACAAGAAATCAAGAGGGTCCAGAGGAGGGTCACTCACATGATCAGGGGTCAGCAGGGCAGGCCCTACAAGGAGAGGCTATGGGACCTGAACCTGTTGAGCCTCCACAAGAGAAGGCTGAGAGGGGATCTGGTGGCCATCTATAAACTGGCCAAGGGAGACCAGCAGGCAATGGAAGAGTCCTTGTTCCCCCGAGCACTACTGAGAGGAACAAGGAATAACAGCCATAAGTTGACTGAGAATAGATTCAGGCTAGATATCAGGAAGCACTACTTCACAGTCAGGGTGGCTAGGATCTGGAACCAACTTCCAAGGGATGTGGTGCTCACTCCTACCCTGGGGGTCTTCAAAAGGAGGCTAGATAGACACTTTGCCAGGGTTGTTTGACCCCACCATTCTTTCCTGCCCATGGCAAGGGGTTGGAATTGATGCTCAGGTCCCTTCTGACCCTACCAACCATGAAACTATAAAAAGTTATAGTTTTATTACCCACCTTCTGTTTCTCCCCCCAGTACATCTGACCCAGTGCCTAACTGAAGTCACGGAAAGATGTCCATTAACTTCAGTGGCTTTACATGAGTTGCAGTTTTAAAAAAGAACAAGTCTCATATAAAGATAAGTAAACCTTACTAGTATTACCTTTCAAGTTTAGATATTTATTGAAACCCTTGGAACACTCTTCTCCTTCTTCCATATTTTGCCCCACCCTTTTTTAAACAATTTATGGGTTTTCACACTTGTCCCTCTACAACTCCTATACATTTCATTATTTCGAGATCCTCAGTCCCTAACTGTCGCTCTCAAGGTCTGTTCTAAATATGGAGGAACTTGTAAAACCCGAAGAAAAATAGTGAAAAATGTTTTAGTTTTCTGAACTCTATGCTAAACTTGAAGCCTCTTCTGCCTTTCACGCTGGAATTTAGTTACCATGATCAGTTTGTACAGAATTGGAGACTTCCAATGTAAATCTGCATATCCTCCACTGCACTTACTTGGAACACACTAGCTTTGAATAAAGCAGATTGTCCCACAAATAATACATGACTTCAAGTTATCACAAAGGCATAAGATTTTTTGAGGAAAAGTGGGAAAAGGAAATAGGGAACATTCTAGCCTTTTTTTTTTTAAATAAGGTTCAGACCTTTTTTTTCACCCACAGGTAGCCTCCACTGGCCAGAATGTCTTGCAGAGAGGGATGCCATCAAAACATAGTCACAGAAGGAAACATGGACTGGACAAAAATCAATGTCTTTAACTGTATTCAAAAGAGGCAGGATTCGCACAGTGTGGTCAGAAATATTAACTTTGGGCAGCCACTCTCTCTCAGGGTGAAGTTACACATTACACTTAGGTTGTACTAACTATACTTAAAACCAGAATGTCTGCACATTAAAGTTAATTAATTCAGGCTAAGTGCTCTCTGAGCATATCAAAGTTATGCCACTTCAAGTGTGGGTTAACCCTGGCCTATGCTAACAAGCTCATGTTAAGGTAATGTCGGTCTGCTCCACAGATATAAAAGAGTAATTTGCAGTCTTCCAGCATCCAGGGATGCAGTGCAGTTCTCCCTATCCCTCATAACAGGAATAGACCCTAGATGTCCTGGCTCCTACCCCTACCTCTGCCCCTGCTCTCTAGGCCCCTAGTGACAAGTGCAGGAGCAGTGCAGGCAAAAAAACAAAACAAAACAAACAACAAAAGGTATTAACCTTTCATGTGCAACTGTTCACAGCGTGTTCCAACTTCAACACTACACAGCATTCCACAGATTTAGTATGGCCTAAGTGTAATTTGTAACTTCACCCTTATAATATGCAAGGTTAAACATGGATTACTAATAAAATGTGATCTTCCATTAAGAATGTACTTTTTTTCTTTTAAAACAAATTTAAAGAGAAAATAAAATATTAGAACTTACATTCAATATCAAGGTACATGCTCTTTTGGTGCCCACCAATTCTACTTGCAGCTTCACAGTCATATCTCCCTGAATCTGACAACTTCACATCTTTAATATGCAGTGACGATTTTCCATGCTGCCCTTTGACTTCTATACGGCCATCTGGGCTCTGTTTACATTGATTCAGAAAAAAAAGGTTTTTCTTTATATATTTGTTTATATATTAAACATCATTGATAATTATGACTAAATGTAAAGAATTTGCTGTGAAAGCATCTAATCACTTATAGTGAAATTAATGTTAATCACTAAGCGATTTTAAAATGTGTCAAAAGATAAGATTTTAAATATATATAGATCTATATAGCTATCTGCCCACCTATCTATCTTTCTTTGTATATATCTCTAAAGAAGTGATATCCCAATTCAAGATTCTATAGTCAAGGCAATAAGTACATGCTTAAAGGAACACCAAGAAATGAAGCCACACAATTAACAATTCTAAGATTGACATAACTGAATAGCAACTAAGGAATCTGTTTATGATCTCAGTCACATTGATGGAAATAAGGAGTAACTCCTAAGTAGTTAGTGGAATGGTGGTATACAGTCATATCAAATTTGATTCCAGACTCCCTCCCCAACCTTTAAAGAGAGTCAGTGAAAAACTGAAAGAGGAAATAAAAAAACAGAACCCCAAATATCTTCCTTTGTATTTTTCTGCTAACACCACCAATGAACAAATCATCCCAAAATATTTTTGGTACTATGGGCTTTTACTGATGATGGTTATGACAACATAGAAGGAGATGGTCAGGGAGGGGTGGTGGTGGTGGGGGGTGTGGGTTGGAGATCCTTGCTGTCTTCTGCTTTTTCAAAAAAGCAAATATTGATTGTCTAACTTGGCAAAAGTGAACAAAATCCTACATCCTTTTATTTCAAAACACATACAGGAAGAAAAATACAATTTGATTTTAGAAACATAATTATATGAAAAAAGGAAGTAAATAACGATTTTTAAACATATTAAATATTTTATGGTGGCAACTGAACCTCTCTTAAGAATCATGTTCTACAAGTATGAGCACAGGCCTTGAAGTTAGGAAGTCTTTGATTCTTATCCTGGTTCAGCAATTTACTGACTTGTGGCTTCTAGGCTCTTGCTTCATTTCCCTGCCCTATTTCTTCTTCAGTAAAATGAGGATAAAGATACTTACCTACCTCTCAGGAGTTGTCAGGATTAATTAGTTACCGCTTGTACAGGATGTTAAATATATAAAAGAACTCTGAGGCCCAGTTCTGTAAATCCTTGTTATTGGGCATATTGTTTTTTTAAGGTAAATGTTCTTGTAGTGGCAGCCAGTGTTTGCAGGATTATACCCTATATCTCTGTATTTTATGCAGAACAATATACCCTATTTTTTATTATTTCTGAATTAGAAGCATAACTGGGGGATGTGTGGGAAAGAGGGCACTGGAGCAGCTGTCTCAGGCACCACCTTTGGAGCAGTGCAAAAATAGTCACCGCTGGAGCAGTGGCTGGATGTACAGCCGTAATATACCCTGTGGCAACCCTGTGCAGTCTCATGCATTGCAGCTGGCCTGGGCACAAAGCTGCTTGGTTATACCTTTGTGAAACAATACAGAAAATTCACAAGCAAATTGGTTCACAAAACAGTTCACATCAAAGGAAACTAGTAGATATGCACACCAGAATCTTTACGTAAAGAAACCTATGCCTTTGATTTCACATCTGAATACAATAGCGCAGCCCTTATTGACAGCACAGAATGCCACCACAGGAAGACAAATGAAGAGGTTTTCAGTAACAGGCCTAAATCCAGGAGCACCCAAAAGACCCCATACTAGTTAAATCACAAGATCACTTAATTTTCTCTTTTGTCAGTCTTAAATGATGAAAATGTCATCCTCAGTAAATATTTAAACACATGCAGATTAATATCCTTAATTCATCAAGAACATTACTAAAAATTAAAAAGTCAGAATTTCATAGTTTCTAGGGTCGGAAGGGACCTGAGAAGAGCATCTAGTC